ACTGCAGATAACAGTCAGCTAAAGTGGCTGCAGTACAGCACTCTAACCACTGCGCCACCTCGGCACCATGCTCCTGTGAAGCTCAAAACTAACATTGGCAGGTTTCCAGTTGTAAAAATGTCATGTTCATGTATGGAGAAGCGGCCAGGGCTGATTCTCCAGCGCTTCACTCTTCCTGGCGCTTCTTCCGGCCCTTGTTGGTGCTGGGCATGCCTCGGTTTCCTTGGGGAGACACACAACCTGCTCTCCACCCTGAGACACTGGCCCAACCTGACCACAACTGACGCTGGCCTCACTAACATGAGCACTGCCGGGCTGGGAATGGAATCCGGTAGGAGACAACGGAAAGGGGGACGGGCCCGCAGCACCCAGCTGCAGCTTTAAACCTTGCACAGGGAACTTTTGCCGCCAGGAGGATGCTTTTCAATCAAAGCCTCTCCGCTGGAGGAGTAAAGAAGCTCAGGGCAGCGGGAAAAGGGGGCTGGCCCCACCGAACCTCGCACGTCCAACCTGGGGGTCAGGCTCGGAGAAAGCTGGAGCACCCGCACAAAAGACGCTAATCTGTCAGCTGGTCAACCCACCTGCCTTGTGCGCCTTTGCTGCACTTTGGCTGAGCCCGGCCACTGGCTTGAGGGTCTCCCCACTCGTGCGCACCCTCCTGGCCCCACCAAGAGTCGGGCTGGAGTGGCGGCCAGCTGCGGGAGACTTATCTTTGTGTGGTGCCATTGACAGGGGATGGTGGGAGAAGCACGGGGGGAAGGCAGGAGATCCGGACATGCTGCGGGGGCCACTGGAAAGCTGAGACTCAGTGGGCCAGAGTGGACAGCCTGCCATGAGAGGCTCATCTTCGCATCTCTAGTATTTATATTATAACTAGTAGCACATGATGAAATCTCAGAGACATGAAAGGTGCATTGAGCAAGTACACTGTCGTTGAGGAAGTTCATTTGTTATTCCCTGAAGCTAGCAGAGAAAGAATCAGTATAGCAGGAGTGGAGATGCTTCCCCATCTGTATCTCTTCACATCTTTCTGCCTTCTCTTTGGCCTTTGGGGCTCTGCAGAAGAAGTTCATGATTGGTATCTGCTTGACCATCACAGCANTAATTGTATTATCTAATTCAGTATGATGCTGTTTAAACTGCTATTTAATTTTCCATTCTAATGAAGAGAAAATTAAATGCATATTAAACAATAAAGTAATATTGAATGTGTGACTCCTGTTTACCTACATACTTTCTAGTACAGTTTTGCAAACCTTAGATTTTGTTGCATTACTTCTCTTTTCCTGACAGTTACAAAACACCATTACAGAATTATAGAATAGCAGATTTGGACCTTAGAGATCTTCTAGTCCAACTCTTTGCTCAGGCAGGAAACCCTATACCATTTCAGGCAAATAGTTGTCCAATATCTTCTTTAAAATGTCCACTTAAAATGTCCAGTGTTGGAGCACCCACAATTTCTAGAGGCAAGTTTTTCTATTGATTAATTGTTCTAACTGTCAGGAAATTTCTCCTTAGTTCTAGGTTGCTTCTCTCCTTGATTAGTTTCCACCCATTGCTTCTTGTCTTGCTTTAGAGAATAAGTTGATTTTTTCTATGTGGCAACCCCTTATATATTGGAACACTGCTATCATATCACCCCATGTCCGTCTTTTCATTAAACTAGACATACCCAATTCCAGCAACTGTTCTTTATATGTTTTAGCCTCCAGTCCCCTAATCATCTTTGTTGCTCTCCTCTGCATTCTTTCTAGAATCTCAAATCTTTTTTACATGAGGACGACCAAAACTGGATGCAGTATTGGTGTGATCTTACCAAGAAATTATAAAGTGATATTAACACTTCATGTGATCTTAACTCTATTCCTCTAGAACTGTATTGGTTTTTTGGCAGCTGAAGCACATTGCTGGCTCATATTTAAGTGGTTGCCCACTAGGACTCCAAGATCCCCCTCACAGTTACTCCTGTTGAGCCATGTACCACTGATATTTACCTATGCATTTGGTTTTTCTTGCCTAAATTACTTTTTTCACCATTGAGTTTTATTTTTTTAAGATAGTGCCCAATGCTCAAGTCTGTCAAGACCCTTAAATTATGTTTAAAATTCTTTGTTGATATTAAATATTTTAAAATTATATTAATGCCTTCCAACTGAATAGGTATTCAAATGTAATTAATGTGTTGAAAAATGTCAACCAATACAAAAGCTAACATTCAAACTTTAAATAATAATCTAATCAAACAAAGCATCTAATACAAATGTATTAACTGTCAAATAACTTTCAAAGTAAAAAAGAGATAAATAATTATCCAAGCCCTGATTAAGACTTCTTACTGTACTCAGAGATTACTTGTAAGAGATGTATGAAGGCAACAAGAGAAAGTTCCAGACGCAACTGCAATTTTATCTTATTTATTATTTTTTGAAAAATTGTTTTAATTATAAGTTCTCCCAACTATTTTACAGATTTTTTTCATTTTTATCTCTTTCCAGTCGTCTCTTCATCATTGTCCTTTAAACCAGTTTCAGTTTCTTTAGCCCTACTCGGTAGGGTTAGAATAGTTAGAATAGAATAGAATAGAATAGAACATAGTAGTTAGAATGCAGTACTGCAGGCTACTTCTGATAACTGACGGCTGCCTGCAGTTTGGCAGTTCAGTTCAATTCTCACCAGGTCAAGGTTGACTCAGCCTTCCATCCTTCCGAGAACAGTAAAATAAGGACCCAGATTATTGGGAGCAATATACTGAAATCACCGTAAACCACTTAGACACTGTGAAATGATATATGGGTCTAAGTGCTATTGCTATTGAAGTCTGAAGTCCAGTTCTAAAATCTAGCAACAGGAAGAAGAACTGGAATTATTGCTTCTAGTGATTTGGAAATCTTATTTCTGTTATTCCATTTTAAATTGCACTTGTCTTTTGTTTCAGGCACATCACCTTTTTAACTCATGCTCAGTTTGTATTCAAATACTATTCCATTTTTTCCTGCACCAGGTTAATGCCTTATGTTGCATTTTATTTTTGTTTTCTACATGAAACAAAAAATATTTCATCTTGCTATCTTCAGATCATTTATTTAACTTTATTTAACTTGAACTGTATTTTTGTCTTCTATTCTCTCAACTGCATTGCTGCATTGAGCTGAGGTGGCACAGTGGTTAGGGTGCAGTACTGCAGGCCACTTCAGCTGACTGTTATCTGCAGTTCAGCAGTTCTAATCTCACCGGCTCAAGGTTGACTCAGCCTTCCATCCTTCCGAGGTGGGTGAAATGAGGACCAAGACTGTGGGGGTGATATGCTGACTCTGTAAACCGCTTAGAGAGGGCTGAAAGCCCTATGAAGCGGTATATAAGTCTAACTCCTATTGCTACTGCTATTGCTATGTTCAGCCATTTCAATGTCTAAACAAATGTTGACATTTTTAACACACATTGACTTCCCCCACTTGTCCAATACTTTCTTTTTTTCCAGTGCCTTCTGAACAAAATATATTCTTCTGTTACTATGGTTTATCATGACTGTCATGATAATAATTCTTAAATTAATCCTAATTTAAACCTTTACTAGGCTGCCTCTTCTAAAAAATTTTAAACTGCCATAAAATTTGTCATGATATATATTAACAGCAAAGATAGTATCAGTGGACTTGATAGATCTTGGAAAGTGTTGTGGCATACCTGATACTTAGATAGTACATTTCATAACCCACTTTGTTTCAGTTCCTTACTGAAACGGAATCATCAGCTATTGTGACTTTTCTCTTAGTCTTCTTCTCTGGCCTTTATGGGAAAATCTCTACTTTTCACTTCCCGGGAATGTCTAGACTCTAGAGATTGCTTCATTTCCAAGAGTGAATATATTATTAAAATGCTATTTTAAATTTTTTCAGGAACATTAAATGCTAAGAGGGAACAATACACTGTAAGAACTTGTAGCAATGACAACAACAAACCTATAATATAAACTCTCTATCCTATAGATATATTGTTTTCAAGCGCATTGATTTTTTCCCCAAAGAGCCTTATGTTAGATAGCCACAGCAAAGATCATCTTTACTAAAGCAAGTGAATAATTTTTTCTCTGTGATTTGTGACATTTTATTTGAGAAACAATGAAAATGCCATGATTGTAAAATCATTCATTTCCTAGAACGTTCTTGACTTACATTATCCAACAGGGTCTAGTTAAAATGCCTGCTAATATTTTCAGCTTTAATTGGCAATAAATTTAAGGAAAATGAATGTATATTTCATCTGTAATGTAGTTAAGATGCACTAATCTATTGGTTCATACTGATAGCATACTTCACTGTTTGTTTCAATCAAGTGTTCAATCTAGGCTTCCCAAAAGCATGAAGCTGACTCCTCATCATGATAAAACCCCTTTTATTTAGTTTAAAGTGAATTCCTCTCCAGCAAAGTTCCAGCCTTTCAAGAGATTACAACAGACTTTGATCAGGCTTGCAAAACTGCCAGGCTGATTTCTTACAAATGCTAAATATTGGAAGCCACTCTGTAGCAGACAATACTTGCAAGAAGTCAGCAACAGATCTTCACGATAATGAATTGAACTAAATTGTCTCCTACAAACTCCCCTCACCTTTCTCTCCCCTTTATTCCCTATGGGAGGGGCCATTCACCATCTACCTGTGGCTTTACTCCCGAGTCGATCCTTGTTCCTTAGCTGTTGCCTTCTTCTGGCAGCTCTGTGCATGTGCACACTGAGAACAGGCTCCAGCTGTTCTTCTGCCCCACTGATATCCAACTCTGAAGGCAGCTGAAAACTGTTGATGACCCTGGCCTCATTGTTGCTTCTGATGCACAGCACTCATCAGAGGCTTCCCCAGATTCCAGGACTGGCCCATGTTTCTCTCCAACCACCTCACTGTACGAATCTGCTGCCAGATCCACTGGCAAGCCATAACATCAAGAATGAAGGACAATGATATACAAATATTCAAATAAGGTAACTAAGTAGGAGTCTTTGAAGCCAAACAGCTATTTAGGTTATATTCACATATATTTTCAATAAAATAAATACCATGATGATCATATTCAAACCATGAATGGAGACAGAATCAATCACGTGGTTAATTTGACTAGCTGCCATATAGGGGAGGGAAGGTAAGGGTTTTTTTATAAAAAACAAACAAACAAGTTTTTATTATATGATGGATTTTTTAAATGTTGTAAGCTGTACAGGGTCACCTATGGATAAACTGGACATCAGTGCTTCAGTCTCCTTCAGCAGTGAACTGGGTATGAAATGGAGGTTCTAATGTGAATATCACTTCAGCAACCATTAAATGGGGCATCCTCATGCCACAGTAAGGAGAGTATGTAAATGAGAGAATAGCCATAGAATATACTTTTCTCATTTTTTCCCTTGCTTTTTTAAAAAACTGATTCCATATAGAAAGTTTGGGGAATATATTATAATACCCAACTGCTTTGTTGAATAGCTGCAAAATATATGAAGGTCACCAGTTCAAGAGAAGGTCTGACTGTTTCTCATAAGTTCAGATATACACACAACAGACATTTTTATCACAGGATCTTTGCACCACTCCTAATAAATCACATTATTCTTTCTGTTCAGAGATGAGCTGATTTATTACTGGCATAACTGATATATTATTATGGATAATAACTTGCTTGATTCTATCTCTGACTCCCTAGATTCAAATTAGTGTTTCTTTCAGACACATAGAGTCACCTACTATAGTCATCAGGCAGCTATGCATTTCTTCCTTATAAATAAATCCCCTTCTTTGTTTTGATTTCAGTATGGAACTTCTGGAGAATTACAGAAAAGATAGCTAACAACAGAAATGGGGAGGAAAAGTCATGGTTCAGTACTTTAATTCAGGGGTTCTTAGCCTGGACGATATTGCCCCCCAGGGGGCAGTTTTGTTTTTCAGGGGCGGAATGGATCAAAAAGGGGCAACGCGGGGACGAAGGAATGGAAGGAAGCGGTATGGGGGTGATGGAGCGAGAAGTTTTGGGGATACTTTTGAGACTTTTTTTGTACAGTGAACCGCTGTATATCTGTTGTACAAAAACATCAGATCGCTCGCTATTAGTGGATTGAACTGTGTTTTAAAATGTTCTTCCAGCTA